TAAATAAATAAATAAATAAATAAATAAAAGTGGCGTATGTTGGCGTCATTTGGATACTAAAGGGAATGGCACTACCTGTGAAAACCTCGAAAAATTGACTGTATATTTTTTTGAGTGCTGAAAGAAATCAGACTTCATCTTGGGCTATCGCTAATCCACACGAAAAAAGTACATAATATGTTTATTTTAAGATCTTATGGGGAAATCTTTTTACAGAACACCATTGTTGTCAAGTGGTTGGACGTTGTCACTGGTAGATCCTGATTCTCTTTATCTATGTTGTCTTGTTCTGCCTATTTTGCTTTCACCTGTTACTCAGTGGTCGCTACTGTGTCCTATGATTACTGACTGTGTCGATGTACTTTTCTTCCTCTAACCAAAATCGAAGACACCACCTAGAAAGTTACCGTACTTTCGTGCCCCCCCCCCCCCAGCTCCAAATTATTGTCATTACATGTGTGTCGATGTGTGGGTTTTTTCAACTCCATCCTACTTCAAGAAGGATTCAGGGAATGTTAAACTACGCCTTGGTTGTTCCAAATCCCGAGCTCAAAAACAGTGCGGACAAAGATCCTCTAATTATCTGTTTTGTGACATGACTTCTGTGGGACTTGTTTTAGACAAATCGGGAGCGCTGTGTGCATATTTTGACATTTACACAAAATTTCTTACCACCCCACCCAGCCCGGGGTTTCCCGGACAGGCAAGGTCGGAGCAGCCCGCTCCCTAAATAATTCGAATGATTGAAGTCGTGTCAAAATGGCCGGTGTACTCTTACAACCAGGAATCCCAACTTAAATCTCAACAGTGAGGGGGAACAATCATGCTCCTCCTGCCTACGTCTTGTTCCCACTAACGCCAAAGCAATGTTTACTCTAGTTTAAGCTTCACAGAAACACCAACACAATTGTTTCTACCTTGCAACTTATTATGCTCCCATTATATTCCCGGAAATCCCAACCTAAATTTGAACAGTGATGATACGTTGTATTGTGTTCCATAAACTCCAGAGCAATTGTTGCTCTAGTAAAAGCTTCACTTAACCATTATATCTCCCATTACGTTCCCAGAAACCCCAGCGCCTTGTTACTCTTGTTTAAACTTCATGAAATATCCATGTCTGCTATCACGTTCCCAGAAACCCCAGAGTAATTCTCACTGTGGATTATATAATTTCGTTTAACCCAATATCTCCCCACACGTTCCCAGAAACGCCAGCACAATTGTAGCTCTATATAACACATAAACATACCCCCCCCCTCTCGTTCCCAGAAACGCCATCACAATTGTTGCTCTATTTAACACATAAACATACCCCCCCCCCCTCACGTTCCCAGAAACGCCAGCACAATTGTTGCTCTATATAACACATAAACATATCTCCCATCACGTTCCCAGAAACACCAGCGCGCTGTTCGTGGTAGAGTGGCAAGGAGACGGTACCATCGGCATCAAGGCCAACAACGGAAGCTACGTCCAGAGCCGACAGACCGGTCAGCTGGTGGGGCTCAGTGACTCGCTCACCAACAAGGAGAAGTTTTACGTGAAGATCATCAACCGGCCGCTGCTGCTCTTGAAGAACGAGCACGGCTTCGTGGGCCTCAAGTCTCCCAAGAACGAGGTCCAGTGCAGCAAGACCAACTACGAGGTGATCTTTGTGGAGCCCAGCAATGACGGACACTACTTCCTCAAAGGTAAGGGGGGGCTGGGTTGTTGGGGTTGGGGTTGGGGTTGGGGTTGGGTGGGGTTTTTTTTGGGGGGGTGGTGTCTTTGTTCTTTTGTCGTCGGCATCGTCGATGTCACCATCCTCATTTTCACTGTTGTTTTGTTATTGTCATCATGTTTGTTGTCACTTACTCTCCATTATCTTCACAGCTGCTATGCAATCATTATCGTCTTCACTGCCATTCCATTTAACAATCATTATCTTCACTGTCATTTCGTTACCATCATCTTCATTGTCATTATTTCATCACCATCTTCACTGTCATTTCATTATCATCCTCGAGACCATCATTTTTATCAGCGTCTGTAGTGTAGCTGTTAGCACTTCACCGTCGCATGCAGGGGGCCCTAATTCAACCTCCGAATGGGGAGAATGTTTATTTAATACCTCTGTGTTTCTGCTGGGACATTGTATCCCTCTCAGCTTGGGCTAGTCCTAATACATGTACGCAGGTTTGAAGTAGCCCACCTTTTAAGTGAACAAAAGTTGTTTCGAAAGGGGGCATAAAATCGTGTACATAAAAAAAACTCTTACTGTCTCGGGCATTTATTTGACCTACATATATTTGTGTTGCAAATGCGGAAAAAGTCTTACTAAAGATAGACCGTCTTGAACACTTGTTTGACCTATTTGTTTAGCAAATGCCGTTAAAGTCTTACTAAAAATAGACTGTCTTGAGCACTTATTTGAACTAGGTATTGTTGCAAATGCCGTAAAACTCCAACTAAAATGTCTATGTCTCCCCCCCAGGAACCAACGGCAAATACTGGAGAGTCCAGGAGGACGCATCTATCTCGGCGGACGGTGACAACCCCGAGCCCTTCCTCCTGGAGCCTAAAGACGCCTCCATCCTCACCATCAAGGCGTCCAACGGCTGCTTCATCAAGGGAGAACATAACGGACTCTTCCGCGCCGTCGGGCAGGAGGTGGATGCCACCATGCTGTGGGAGTACTAGCCAGGTGGCTTGACCAGTGTCCAGCCCGCTTCGCCGGAAATATCGCCCAGGAAATCGCTCCCGGAAATATGATATGATATCGCCTGAGAGACAATTAATGACATTTACGTTCCGTGCGTGGAACTGAGTGAGTTGAGACAATTGATTGACAAAAAGAAAGAGAGAGAAATATATCACAAGTGGATTCTGCGACTGTGTGTGCTTTTAAATATTTTTTTGGATTCGTTGCAAGAAGAGAAAGATCGTTCTTTCGTTCGTTCATTCGTTCGTTCGTTCGTTCGTTCGTCCATCCAGCGTGTTGCTTACTTCTGCGCTGGGTGAAATAAAATGACAACACCACCACCTTACCCCCCTCCCTCCCCCCAACCCCCACCCCCGCCCCTCGCCCCCTGCCACCCAACATCTCCTCTCCCCTCTGCCCGGGTGGGTAGGGACATCATGGGAGTTCTGTACAGTAAGTCTTTTTTGTATGATATGTTCATTTTTTTGTTCATTCCCTTTGGTGACATGCTGCAGATGGTCATTGAAGTTGGAAGCTCTGATTATGATTGCTGGGAACAACAAAGTGTTCTTCATTTGTTCTTTTAATAAAATTTAAAAAATTAAATTGCGTCAAAGCATCTGCTCTAACTCGACAATTTCGTTCTGGAAGTTTCTCTAAATCAGAAGTTTCTGGGCCCTGAGTATAATTGTTCTGTTTTGAGTCATCATGTGTTGCCCCTGTGTCTTTATGTCCTCGTTCTCTCTGCCTGGTGGCCCTTTTTTTGTTGTTAGTTTGGTTTGTTTGTTGTTTGTTGTTGTATTTTTTGTTTTGTTTGTTTTTTTTGTTTTTGTCTTGTTGTTGTTGTTTTTTCTCTGTTCTGTTCCTGCAGCAACGTCAAGTGTCTTTGATTGGGGCAACTGATGTCACATATGGAACTTTCTCCCATGTGTTTCCATAGCAGATCCCATCAGCATCTACTATGATCGAGTGGATAGTGATGATGATGATGATGATGATGATGGAGATGCAAATTCTATTATTGATTAATGTGCCGCTTTCTTACAGCGTGTGTTCATTTGTGTGTCTGCTGCTTTGTTCTCTCTTCCTTTTTGTCTTCTGTGTCTACTAAGTGGGGACTGACTTTCTCTTGAAGTACTAAAACCATTTTTTGGATTACCGTTGAGATATTAATTAAGTGAATTTCGTTCTGTGGTTAGCTTCTCGTTGACTCACTTTATGCAGAATTTCTCTCCAAGTTCAGCGCAGTGTTGCAACAAGTGTCGCGACATACTGTGACCTTTTGCGATCCTGTAGCGCGTGGTTATTGCGTAAATTGACAGAGGTAACTTCTGGATCGATAACAACAACGACAGAGGTAACTAACTAAACTGTTTGATGTTTGAAAGCGACGTATCAAGGCCTCGCTCGTCATGGTGCTGTTTGTATGTTAGGTGAAAGTTTTCGTTTTGTTGATGTTATTTTATGCGAGGCATTCTTCTTACTCTTTGCGAACGAAATACTCTTCTGCATTTTGCTCCCTAGAGAGTTAAAAAAAGAAAGAAAAATAAAAGAACTCTGTAAAAAAAAAACCCAGTTTGCACTCGTATTTCGGTCTTCTAAATTTTGACGTTTACAAAAATTTTAAGTAACTCTCAAAAGGCGTTTATAAACCACTCAACAAACGAACCACGAACTCAAATACTGACCCACCTTTTCTCTTTCCCTCAAATGCAACCACCGTACCTCGTCGTATGATCTCAAACACCGTGCAAAGACATTACTCATGATTTGAGACACGACTCAAGGTTTTTACCTCAACATTTCCACAACACAAAAGATTCTGGGGGTAAAACGTTACACTTAACGCACTGAAAAGGAACAGCTGTTAATTCTTTCCAACAGTCTATTTTTTCCCCTCGACAAAAACATCATACTACTTTAAGAAAGGATATTGTTCTTTTCCATGCACCGGGAAGACTTGGCTGGAGTTCATAATTTACTTTTCAACAATGTCTTTGTTTCTAGTTGAATAGAAAGACACTATTTTCTGGTCACATATTATTATACTGATTGTACAGCCATTCACACCACTGTGTTCTACAAAGTTCTTGCTGTAGAAGATTGGCTAGGAATATTTTGAATATGTCGACGAGTGTTTCCATTGTTTCTTGTAAGAACATGCATTTCTAACTACAGTATTCCTTTTACTGATGCTATCACCGTGCGATCATGATGTTTCATTCTATGAGAAGTCATTCCACGACAAGGGGTTGTACCTTATTGTGCTGCAAGTGCCGCAGAACACTTACTAAAATGAAAACAAGGGGTTATACTTCGTGTAGGAGATTTTTCCTTCAGACAAAGCCTAGATCGAACACCATCAAGACTAGCTTGCCACAAAATCCAGGTTACAGTTTTGCACCTTCTGCCTTGGTTGAAAGGAGAGGGGAAAGTAGTATTGGAAATATTAACGAAAACTGCATGGTGTACAAATGTGCGATCTTCCAAAGATTCGAAAAGAAATGCCAAAAATGTTCCAATGAAATATAATCAACTTGAGGACGTTTCAGACTCCTGTGAAATTATACTCTAATTATGAAGCGTCGTGAAGTCTGCAATCTGAAAATACTCACCACGTCTGTTTATTCTCGCATCTTTTTATGGTACCATTGTGCTTTTTCACTGTTTCATCGATAAATACATTTATACTAAACAGGGTCTACTTTAGAATGATTAATTATTAATAATAAGGCTTCTACAATAATGGAAAAATCAACACGGTATCATGTAATAAGTTGTGTTCAAACTGAACAAAGTCTACGCGGAAACTGATGGTGAAATCTGAATGAGCAGCTCTAGACTGGTGGCGTGACGCAACTACTTTACGGGCTACGGTGAACACTCGCCTCGCTCATTGTGTCTTCACATCATCAGTGGCGACAACAACGACAGCAACGACAAAGACGACGACAACCACGAAGATAACGTGAACATTGTTGTTGCTGGGTGTGCCCGTACTTACTTAGCACAGGCCGCTGTATGGATTGGGAGGATGCAGAGCTTGTCCAAGGTTCTGATGTGTCATGTCGTATTTCCCGATGGATGCGACAGAACCAGACATACATACTGTCCATGTAAGAACGATCACCACCGGGACTATACTACATGTATAATATATGGAAAGGCTTTTCCCTTCAAGTGCCCTTGAACAAGCTTTTTAAAGATGCATCCATGTTCCAACTGCTCATTTCGCGTTGAGACAAGGATAGGTCAGAGGTACAGATGTAGTAGTGTATAGCTCGTGATGCAGTTAATCAGTTATGTGGGTAAACCTGTTAATGAAATGGGCAGAGTTACTGAACATGTCAATGAAATGAGCGGAGTTACTGAACTGTGAACCTGGCACTGAAATGAGCGGACTTGCTGAATATGTCAACATGTCAATGAAATGAACTGAATAAAGCCTGATACGCCTGACCATGTATTATTATCTGATGTCTGAACCAAACCACTTAAAGCTTGAACAACGATGACATGTAACCGTTCAGCATTTACTGATACGCGAGTAGCCAAATCCATAGCTTTGTTCAACTGTAGCTTTGGTCAGGGAGACTGTAAATGCTATGTTAGGTACAGGTCGTGATGTGTTGGTTATTGTTATGACCGCTTCTACGTGTGTCAGCTCTCTCTCTGGCTGGTAGTGCAGATTTGCGCAGTGTGTATGTACGTCAGCTTTTCTTTGGCTGATAGCCAAGTGCAAGCATGGGCACAGCAAGGGGCAGTACGTGAAGGTGTATGGTTTGTGTCAGGAAAGGATGGGGTGGAGGTTTAGAAACTTCATTAACACGCCCATATGTGTAGTTTTCATGATTATAAAACAGCTAATTAACTAGTTAGATATTTTTGTGTCAGAAATTGTTTGTAACATTTTGGTTGATGACTTGTTCTGAGCTTTATGCCGCCTCCCGAATAATCTGAAAATTATGTCGATGGGGGCGTAAAACTTCTACAATTAAAGCTTTATGAACTGTCTGCAGAACTGTGCGGACGTTTTAAAGTTGTTTTTTTGAGTGGTTTTTTTTTCTTTTCATTCTGGTGAGATGAAACGAATGCTCAACATTTCTTGCATCCCTTGTATTTTGAGAGGCTGCCATCGCCTACTTACAACATCTACCATTCCCACGAGAGTCTTCTTTTTGGGGGCTTGGAAATATTCTAAGTAAGACAAGAGCCTGCGACCAGCGTCTGTGGTGTAGAAGAAAGACTCTTCGACATTTCAAGTAGAAGACGCGAGTTCGGTTCTCCAACGGACACATTTTGGTGTTGGTTTTTTTCTTCGTATCGAGCATCCATGTTTGTATGCAGGATCGAAGTAAGCCTGTCTCCTTAATGATCTAAATTGTGGCAAATGGGGCTTAAAACATTTACAATGACATTTCCAAGATCTTGATGCAAATTTTACTACAGCTGCTGGCACTGTTGGGACCACGGTATGAGTTTTTTCGTTTTACACGATGCTCGGTGTCAGGTGTGGTGGAGGAGACATGGCGACGTTTGTTCGGAGCACTGAGCTATGCATCATGACAATTATTGTGTACATCTGTTTTTTAGATGACTAGCTCTACCACAAAGCCATCGCTACATTTTGCTACTCTAGAATTACAAACTTCTATCTGCTCAGTTGGCCTATCTAGTTTTGAGAAATTTAAAGTTTAACATTTTGAATTGTCCATCATGGTCAAGCTTCTTTTTCAAGTGCAATTCTTTGAATATCTTGATATCATGATAACGACTCCGAATAATCTTACGATTTTGACAGAAAAGATAGAACATTAAGTTTCTGACTTCATGGTCTTAATTACCTAAAAACGGCCAAAAATGTCAGATAGAACTTTGTAATTCTAAGGTGCCTACTTTTAGATGGATGCAGAATCTCTTTTTATACCCACAATGAACCATCTTCATCTGCTAATGGTGCTGAATCATCACCAAATTATCTTGGGGCGCTTGCCCCCCCCCC